TTGAAAAAAAGGGAAAAAGAATAAAAATGCAAGCTTAAAGAATGATTGATTGATATGTGGGGTCTAGCGTCTCGAAAACACCATATGATTATGGGAGACGCCGTATAGTGGAGGTCTCCGGAAATTTCGACCATCTGAAACGCGGGCACTGACATCGTACAGTACACGGGCCTTTACCATATCGCCTTCATTGAAATGCGACTGACGTGGTGGGTATCGAACCGGCAACCTGTGCGTCAACAATCGAGCACCTCAACCGCAACACGACCGTAGCGGACAGTTAGCAATGCCATTGAGTCGTGTGTGACTCGTCGTGGTACCGTCCATTGCGGTGTGGGGCTGGCTCGGAGATGCTGACTGACGAAAAACTTCAAAATCGCTGTAAAATACATTACACGCGTTGTCTAGCCGCAGTGTGTGGACGGCGTTGACTGTGCACATCATGGACACGGAAGATGACCCTTTTGGGGGTGCTGTCAGTATACTCCTTTAAAGCGAGATGTCCACCTGGGCATCCGGGACGGCTCTGCAGGGCGATGGAGAAAGCGACTCGTGACGATCCTGCTCCTTGCGTGCCACTATAGAGGAAAGTGGCGGTGCTCTGTGAGCCGTTACTGCCAGATTTCGTGTGTACGGCCTTTCTTCGTACACTATCCCCTCGTGCGCGTTACACGCGATAACCTTGCGGCTGTGCGTGGCCGCTCCCACGTGGCGATGAACAGAGCGTTCCGACATGCATGGCGGTTGCCTGCGCACGACTGTGCACCATCGTTCCAGCTGACGTCACTCGATGAAGAAAGCGAGCGCTGGCTTCTCCGTAGACATTTCAATGTGCTAAGATACAGGCTGTTCTTCAAGGGACGCGTTGATCGTTCAGCTATATATGTAACGAGAAAATTATGCTTGGACGGGAGCATTGCAGTCTTCGGGCTATTACCTTGATAAGGTTCTTGTGATGTCATCTGTTAAACTTCATATGCAGCTAAACGTTTGTGTAGTTTATACAACTAGGTGTATCGTCCCTTCTTACTTGCGCGATCATCGCGAACTTTGCACGTGTAATCCGATGTTTTCTTGAATCGAGACGCTCGCAAAGCCATCAGAGCCCTCTGCAGTAAAAAAAACAAACAAAGTTTTGGCCTATCAATGTACAGTATAGTACATTGTTGAAGGGAACACTGCAATGACCACCTTTCATGTTGCTGGCCCCCTAACAGCAACTTATCACTGAAACGTAGCTTGTGCACGGCTGTATGTAGTGTCAAAAGGAGTCAGATGTATCAACGATTACTAGTCTTACGCAAATATAAACCACTATGCATTTGCGATTGGGCGAAATGCAGACATGCCCTGCACGCGAGCGCTGCCTTTAAGAGTGGACGCGTCTGTACGGCCCATATGATCCTACGTTGACTGAACCGCTATACGCACGCGAAATGTGTGACTGTGAAAGCGCACATGTTTCTTCAAAGTATAGCGCTAGACGCGAATAAGTGGCTCAAAAAGCGAGAGCTAGACCATTCTTCAGTCCCGCCGTGGTGGTCTAGCGGCTAAGGTACTCGGCTGCTGACGCACAGGTCGTGGGATCGAATCCCGACTGCGACGGCTCCATTTTCGAATGAGGCGAAAAGGCTGTTGGCCTGTGTGCTCACATTTGGGTGCACGTTCAGGATCCCCAGGTGGTCGAAATTTCCGGAGCCCTCCACTACGACGTCTTTCATGATAATATGGTGGTTTCACCATTCATCATTTTCACCAATCAACCATTTTTTTCAGGCGGAAGACTTGGATAAACTCATCAAACTTGAAATTTGACCGTTCGCATCCCGTGCCGTGGGGGACTCGTGATTCGAAACTATTCATCATCACGCGATGACGCTACCATATGACGTCACAATGACGTTGCAGAACGCAATTTTTTGTGGCGCTATTGTGACACAATCAGTCGTCACGTGATGTCATCACATAATGACGTCATCACACGAAATCGCAGCTTCGTCAAGAGTGACCCGATCACAGAGGCAACGCAAAGGCAGGTAAAGTGCCTCCGATCCAGGAGGCAGGGCAAAACGTGGTGGCGCTATGCTTTCGAAGTGTGGTGGGGCAGGATCAATACATCGGCAATGAAGAAAAGGGAGATCTTTCGCCTTCCAGTCGTCTTTAGTGTACATGCATATAAGGGGCTTTCTAAATTAATTAATTATTTTTTTATTCACTTGCTCACTCATCGATTACTTATTATGTAAGGAGGAGGGGCAGAGGTTGATGAGAGGAAAAGAGGCGACGTTTACCGCCCTAGTTGCAAGCGCAGCGCCTATTATCAAATGAGTGATTGAGTGAGTGAGTGAGTGAGTGAGTGAGTGAGTGAGTGAGCGAGTGAGCTAATAGTCATTCCCTGTTAAAAGATTGGCGACAACAGAACGCGTGATCGCCTTCCCTCTCTCTCTCTCTCTGCTGTTCCGAGCAGAGCAAATTAAACTTGGATGCAGCACCGGGGGAGGGAAACCAGGGAGCGTTTGACGACGACGCGTGCAAATGAGGCGCGTGCTGGCGTGTTTTGCTCGCCCACGCACGACCTGTGGTGCGAGAAGACGCTGCGTCACGCCACGACGAACACGCGTTCGCAGCTTTCGTGATCGCGCAAGCGTCCCCCCGCCTAACTCCTTTCCTCCACCACTGGCTTTTATCGCGGCCAAAAGGTTCCTCTTGTAGCAGCTACCGTACTCTACACTGCCGCCACCCCATGCTACGGGATTCGCCTGAGGGAAAAAAAATGCTACGAAACGGGGCACGCCGGATTGGTCTTTCACGTTTTCTTTTTCCTGGTTGATCTTACTTGGCCCCGAAACAAAAAAAATAAAAACAAGGAAAGAAAATCGACCTCTATCTGATGAGCGGTATACGTGAAGGAGGCGTTTGTTGCCCTCGTCCCCGCAAATTTTCTTTGTCGTATATTTCTCCTCTATAGGTCATGGTTAGATCTGAGTCGGTCGGCCTTCCTCTAAAATGTCTCAAGCGGCTCGACATAAATCCTCGGGCTTGATGATTCCCACGGCTTCGCAGCACTCTAAGTGCAGAGTACAAAGGCCAATCGGCTTCTAAAGGTCGTTCCGGGGTGACATCTTTGCATTGACCGTATAGCTCGAGTAAGGTCGCCGTATGGCTTTTGTAGGACGCCACCGCGACCTTCCTGGAAATCTTTATTGTGTGACATCATCCCGCTTTAGTTAATCCAATGAGATCACTATCTCGTTTTCTTTACATCCGCGTTAATTTAAGATATCCGTAGTTTGATATTCTCCGTCTTGCGTGGCCTGTTGTTTTTTGTGCTTTTACGCGCAGAAAAAGCACATTCCTCATTACAAATCATGGCAGTGGCTGACAGTCGGCCATGTTGGTTCATGATGCAAAATGTTAAATTGCGCCAACAAGAGAGGGATGAAAGTAAGAGACGATGACACACACAGCGGTAACTATCAAAAAGAAAAGTTCATCTCCTTGGGCACGCAGTTTTTATACACCGCACAAGCGCCGCCAAACGTGTAGAACATTCAACTTCTTAGAAACAGGATCTCTTTCTTATAGACAAGTTGAAAGACAGCGTGCTGCGATGTTTTCACCTTCAATGATTTCTCTCGTCAGCTTATCATTCTGACAACAGTACATGCGCCAAGAACAGGTTGACCGCCACATGTCGGTATTTTTCGCTATGTGTGTCGTCGTCAGTTCTCTGTCTTAAGTTACCTACCTTTAGTAACTCTTTGAATCATCACAATTTTGCCGTGTTATACCCGTCCATCGACTGCACCTGCATAACGATAACGGTGATAGCCACGTGGTCAAAAGTTGTCGTTGGTACAGAACGGACGTCTCGCGGTCAATTTGGACGATGCGTGTCCGGCAACGCAATGGCCGTTGGCGTCGAGAGAAAAAAAAAAAGCCGTTTTTAGGTTGCCCTAATCAACGCTACTGACCCAGTTATCAGTTGCGCCGACAATTAAGAATGGTGCACAAGAGTCGGCATTACACCTGCAGCGATAAACCGAACGGAACAAGTTTTGGTTACTAAGAAATGAGAAAGACACAAATGGTATGCGCCAGGCGGCGAGGTGAACCGGAAAACGAACATCCAGCTCGCCATTCCGCACTAGAAAAGAGGCAGGATTATTAAGACACACTCTACGAGACTATGACCCTATAAGACTCGATCCATTTTTCCAGGTACTCCATCATCAATGGGGCCTAGGGCAGGCAAAGTTCAACATATGGTTGAATCGCATCGCTCCGTTGATGTTATACAACAGTAGTTTGACGTTATGCATCGGCAGTCTGATGCTATACAACAGCAGTACGGCATTAAAATGGCCACAGAAAGGACAAGATGGCGTAAGCATTTGATTAAAATTTTGTCAGTTGATAGATTGACCAGCCCGAAATGCGTTGGCCGCGGATTCAGATCTCAGACCAGGAGGTGTCTCTGACGTTGCCAAAATTACCAGCAATCTCAATGTGGTAGTTCGGGGGAGATGGAAGCTTGAAGAGATGAAAAATTTGTGACAACGAGCTGTCGCTGGAGGCTAAGAAGGAAACGCGCTAAGGAAAACAATTGAAACCTTGAAGAAGACAAATGCGCTCGTCGAAACGTCGAGAAGGCTTCAACGACATACCACGTTCACAAATGCTTCATCTCACCAAACTCAGGGTTTCACTATATTATAAATCATATATAGCTGCCGTGTTTGGCTCGCCACTTACACCAAAATACCAATACAAGGACAACTATAGTAATTATTGTGTTCGGTGCATGACGTCGTCATGTTTTGTACTGATCAAGCGGGAATAAACGAACCGTATCTCTTCGACCGTGGTATGTCTTCTATGACCTGCGCATTTGGTAGTCACGAGAAAGAGGACTCTTTTTATTGAGCTACATGCATATTTCTTTCACGGAAGTTCATCAATCTATAGTGGCCTCATATACATGTGTGTTCATCTCGCAGACCGGGCATACCTGGGCGGTCGACCTCAGCCCAGCCGGCACCCGTCGCACCACCACCACGCACACCACCTGGTGGGCCACCACCACCCGGCCTCCGTGGCCCACTCGCACCACCACCAGGCGTCGGTGGCGGCGCACCACCAGGGAGGACAGGCCAGCTGTTCCTCCAGCGGGGCCTCGGGCTCTAGCAGCGTGCACAGCGCCGCGTACCGGCCACAGGCGCCCCTGGTCAAAGGCCCCATACCGGGCAGTGCGGCCAGTGCGGCCAGGGCGCGAAGGAGAAGGATGAAGTGCCTCATCTCACTAGGACTTATACTGCCCGCGCTGGCTGGAGTCATCGGTGAGTGACCATGGTTTTATGAGAACCCCGGAATCGAAAGGTACACCCAAGGGCAATCACATTTGACGTCGTAGTGAAAAGTCAATGCTTGAGGACGCCTAAAACGTCGATGTCATACATGCGCAGCAGTTCTTTAGCAACCATTATTGACGATAAAAGCGCGATTTGTGCCATCAGTGGTGCGTTCTTGAACACAATGGGACAGAAGATACATAATGCTGTAGGGATTCAGTACGACCATTCACAAGTACTGAAGAAAGAAAAAAACCCGTGACCAAAAAAGAACATTCTGTTACATTACAAGATAGAGTAAGATGCAACTTGCGCGTGTCAGTTTGACTCCTGCAAGAAAGGAGTTCCTGGCAGTGACCGTTGAGAACTGCAAAGATTTCTTTCCCGCCGCGGCCTGCACCTATAGTACTCCGTTGAGGTCCATTGCTCCGCAGCACCGGCTGTCGTATAGACAAGAGCACGCCTATCTCGCACCCAGGCGCCTTTGGTGGTATACTCTCGCTCCCAGAGACGCCATAATTTGTTTTCAACTGCCAAGGCGCGCCTCGCTAACATGGCAAACAGTGCCACTTCAAAATGTAAAAAAAAAAACGGCTGTTCACGCTGCGTTAGTTTATAAGAAGTCTTCTGGGTAGCGCTGCGCCATCTTCGGATGCAATAACAACCACCGCAAGAGTAAGATATTACTCAGAACTGTCTGAAGATCCCAACACGATACGGCAACCATGCCGGTGCGGTGTTTTCCGATTGCACAGATTTCCATCCGCAACAAAAAACGCCGAGCTCTGCCGCCAGTGGATATAATCGTAATTGGCAGGAAAAACTACGAGTCCAGTAAAAGTGTACGAGTAAATATAATTATTGCATTTTAGCACGACGCCAGCACCTCCACCAAATTGTTAAGGCGTTCATTAGCCGGCAACGAGCGAGAATACACAATGGCGACAGTCACAGCCAAGCACGGGCTCTCAGCGCGAGCGGCGTCCTTGTTGGGTAGCCCCACAAGGAGGTACTCGAAAGTTCGACCCATTTCAGAGTTCGGAGGCTTCGCTACAAAGCTGTTTCGCTTTACAGCAGCAAGTTGCGCGCAGTATTCCTGTACGGCACCAAATCAATGCCGTACTCTTTCGCCGGATTCATGCCAGCTATAGGACATATTATGACTCACGCGCGGATGCAAGCACCGCGCACGTATACGATTGTAAAGGCGTACTATAGCGATGCACTGAGACGCGAATGGCGCGAAAAGCACAGTTTTCGACTCAGTCAAAGTGTGGCATGCCTTGACCCACTAGGCGAATCTGTGCTGTCGGTTGGCGTTACCGTGTTTTAAAATCTTGTTCTGGTTGGCACTTTCGCCTCGCGTGTCTGTTCCCAGTGCCCGGCATGAGTGGCAAATGATGAACACATGCAGTGGATGAGCGCAAGTTGGAGCGAGATTCTAGCGCTACGTTGACGCCAACTTACAGTACCAATTCTACCTTGCCACAGCCAAGGCATACCGCAGGGCGATTGAGTCGAAAACAACGCTTTCTGCTGTTCGCGTTTCTTTCAATCGCAATAGTATAACGTACCTGATGAAGTTGTTTCCGTTGTCTGCTATGAACGTGCTGTAGATATTCCGGACTGTCGAGGAAGGTCTCCTGGACGTTTCACAGGTAATCAGCACAAAATTCCAGGAGAGTAAGAGCGCGAAACATCCTTACAGCCGGAATTGGGTTGTTCAGTTTCGCGTTTGATTTGCGGAGCGTCTGCGCGCGTGGCAGTGCCTGTGTGTTGCTTCGCCGCGCTTGCAACAGATGGCGCGACGTGCTTTTTCAATATGGCAGCACGCTCTGAGCTCGCTGTGTTCTGGTGTATAATGTACTACATTGCATACAATAGTGGTTGCCCCTGAGCTCCTTGTAGAACCTGATATAGTTAAAACCTCGCTTTACAAGGGCACATTTTTTATTTAAATGTTTACATTGGAACAAAATGCGACTGCTCTTTCTATTTTGTTAGTGTACGGTGTTGTACTTTATGAAAAATCCGGCATAACTTGCTTTCACGGTTTCAAGATCGCCATTAAAGCGTCATGTATTTCTCAGTGGTATACACATCCCCTTGAAAACAGTCCGCTTCCCGTTCCTTTCGGGGAATCTGCGACCACGCGCCGGACTCTTCGTGAAGCCGACCTCCGACTCGAGACAACCTCGACTCCACGAAACGAATGCCTCCACTTAGAGGGAACACCGCTCGTTCGTAACGAATGGCCCGTACAGCCCGGCGATGGTATAGCAGAAGCCTCGGTAAGTTATCGGCGACGTCCATATACGGAGGAGCCGCATGCGCGAAGTCCATCTTATTCATTTCTCGGGGCCTCGATTGCGACGACGTTAGGAGTCGTTGACCTTCTTCGGCGCGGCCGTGAGAGCGCCGACATTATAGGAAAGACCGCAGGCGACGCTGCTACACAGCAGTAAGGCACCGCTGCGGTTGGGAGAGACCCTTCAAGCACGCGAGGAAGTACTCGCACCTATGCTTCAACACGGCCAGGCGCTCGGTTGAGGAAGCCGTTCAGGACTGCAGGCCTCGGATTTTCTTTATAAAATACTAGCCTTCCTAGCTGCTCTTCCAGCGGCATTCTCTCACGACGTGTGCGACGTGCAATTTTCGAGGGAACATACAGGCCGATGCCGAAGGCAGTGCAGTCTATGTCAGAGCGTCGAAGTCGCCTGGCTTCGCGTTTACCGTATAAGGCGAGAGCCTTGCGTGTGTTATATGCGAACGAGGCTCTGAACGAAAAGCCTGCTTCAGAGAAGAAAGTAAAGAAAAATAGCTTATAACGCATTGGTGAGCTAATGCCATAAACATGTGAGTTAAAGCGTGACTCTTCGTATATATGATTAGTAGCAGTACATTATCTGTCAATACTAAGTTTAAAAATAGCAAGATATTCATTAAAGTACACTTATCGAAAGTAAAATTAGTGCAATATCTTTGATCATAAATAATAGGCCAACACGTTATTTGGTGGGCGGTTTGTCGAAACGAGGTGAACAGTAATAACGCCACAACGGACGGCCTTCGCCTGGGAGTCATCTTATAGGCAAGTGCGTCAGGTCGTTGCGAGTTTAAGCATTTCATAACGTCATCGATATTCTCGCATCTCGTGCAACACGAACTCGCCGATGATCCGTCGATTAGCGTCTGTATTGAGTTATGCCGACCGAATGCGATGGGGATTCGTTGGCCTGCCTTTATCGAAGAATATGCTAAACGAGCCGGCATCACCTTGAGACGGAGCCCGCGACATCAGTGCCGTCGTTCGTAAACGGAGCGGACACGCGGGGGCGCTGCAAGCGGAGAGACTTGGCTGCACGAGTAAACAGAACGCGGAAAAAAAAAAAAAACATTCTCGGAGAACGCGATCCGCCGCGACCCGTGTCGGGGTCCCCGGGAAAGTGTGTCGAAGTTCGGCGCATCGAAGGTGAGGCCGGCCGCTGGGAAAACACGTGGGAAACGGGGCCGTAGGAAATCTGCATACCGCACGTCCCTAGAGACGTGCCTGTTCTGATTGCACCGATGGGTGGCACCAGTGTTGGCTGTCTGAGAGGAAATGTTTGTCGAAGGAGAGAAAGGCAAAACCACAGTGTCACTTACGCATTCGCCTATAACGACACGCAGACGGGAGCAAGGCCGCAGACAGAAATGTTTTCGGGGGGAGTACCTGCTAGATTTCGGATGTCGACTCTCGAGAGCGGAAGGGCGCCTCCTTGAAATGGTCGTTAGAAAATTTAGGGGTGAGGGGCGATGTGGCACGGGCACTTTGTGTGTCCCCTTGCTAGCTACGTCACTGGGCGTAAGCCATCTGGTGTGGCATGACTTTCACTGATTAGCAGACATTAACTCTCATTAATGCTATTCCTCCAGACGCTTCCCTGAATTAGTGTATACTTATTAGTCTTCATCAATTGTATAGCTACTGGCTTAATTTGCATTTATTCTCATCATGCTTTCATTTTCACCCTGCCACGGTGAGCACGTGGTTAGTGCTCGACGACTGACGACGACGTGGGTAGTGCTCGGCGGCAATAATACATTCCACACATTTTTTGGAAGTGTGGCAGCTTGGGCTAGTTGGTATGGCATGACGAAGTTATAGCGTGAGAACAAAACGACGACACAGAGACAAACAAGAAGGACACGAGCGCTATCCAACTGAGTTTATTGCGCAGAGCGCGAAAACAAATAGAGGAGACAGTAACCATGTAACAAAAACCATATGGCACAAAGAGCAAAACACTAGTAAGGGAAAAACAAAAACAAAAAAACAAAAGCACAGAAAAGGGCAAAGAAAAGTCTATGAGGAAACGAAACAGAAAAGTAAAGGTAATATAACTACTTGCGCGCACCAAAACCTTCGAGAAAGTGTGGCAGCTTGGGCTAGTTGTAGCGCGAGAACAAAACGACGACACAGAGACAAGAAGGACACGGAAGACACGTGCGCTCGTGTCTTCGTGTCCTTCTTGTCTCTGTGTCGTCGTTTTGTTCTCGCGCTATAACTATCTTCGAGGAACTTTAGTTCCTTCTGGGACAGAGACACGGAGGGCTTGCTAATGCAACACACCTTTTCGCGTGCCATCTGCGCGGCCTCGAGAATGACTCGGGTGCGCTAATCTTTGTGCTTGCACAGTGTCGCTGTGTCCTTGAAAAGGGGCACACAGTTGTACTCAGTGCAGTGCTGAACAAGAAAACCATCTTTCCCGTTTCTAACATTGTTAGCGTGTTCTCTCAATCGATCGTTCAGACACCTTTCGGTGCAATTGTGTGCAATTGTGTGCAATTGTGTTCCCCTCTTCAAGGACACAGCGACGCTGTACAAACACAGAGATGAAAGCACTCGGGTCATTGTCGAGGCCGCGCAGATGGCACGCGAACAGGTGCCTTGTATTAGCAAGCCCTCCGTGGCTTTGTCCGAGAAGGAACGCAGGTTCCTCGAAGGT